TGCTCTTTCAACACTAGTCCAAGGACCATCTTGGACATGGTTATAGGATAGTTGAGTTGGCCAAAGTCAAAGATGCCTTGGTATCGATGCCCGAATTTGGAAGCACTATTCCTTTGTTGATCGTCTCCCAAGAAGGATTCTATGTGAGTGAAAGGTCACGAAGCTTCTTTCTCATCTTCCCCTACTCTAATCTTTCCTTTGCCTTTTCGTTACCTACCAACTAGTAAGTGTTTCCACCAATCAAAGGCACTACCCTTGAGGCTTCGAGACACCAATTTCACCTTCCTTGCTTCTAGCACAGCATAACATTTCAAATGACTCTATGGGTTTCAACCATTCGTCAAACACGTCTGAATGGTTGGTTTGAGATGTTCTAAAAAAGTACACTTTCTAACTTATTGGCTTATATGGGTTGGGTTTGGGTTGGGTTTGATGTGATGTGTCAGAGAGGTGATGTGATTTAAATAAGATGATGCGACTTAAATATGATAGTGACTTTTTGACTTTTTATATTATTTAGTTTATGCCAAACCAACCAGTTTCCATTGAATTCAGGGAAACACAGAGTCCTTGACATTGTCATTCCACTTAGAATCAAACCCATGTGAGTATGCTTTACGCCTATGGGGAGCACCAAAGTAATCATCAAGTTGATGATCCTTGGAACCATTACTACCTTTGGAAAGAAGTTGCAAGCATTTTACTCTTCCAACCAAGGTAGCCACTTGAGAACTCAACTCTTCAATCTCATTCCGTTGATTTTGGTTTACCATTGTTCCTTTCAAATAAGGATTCATCTGGAATTGTGTCTTCCAAATTCGTAGCAGATGCTCTACATCATCCACTTTTAACCCCTATTGAGCCATCAAATCAAAGCTGAAATCAACCAAAAGGGAAAACTTTTGTTTGCAACAAACACACAATAGTGGCCAAGCAAAGGAAACAATTCTCACAATGAAATCAGCTCTTGATTAATGATAACACTACCCAGCACAGTCAATTGTCAATCACATCCAAGACAAACAAGTCGAACCTCAGACAAAATCAGAACACAAGAATCAAAGGCCACTTTGTTCCAAATCAACCAGCCAACAAACATGAGATACAATCTAGTCAAAGATCTACTCCAATCGAAATCACAAATCATTGCACCAAGACTCAAATCGAGAGCCAAAAATTTGAATCAAAATGAGAGAATCAACAATCAAAATCAACCACAGACGTGAACTACAAAGAGTTGAACTCAAGAAGAAAACAAAACAAATCAAGATCGAAGATTCCAATCATAGTAGATTGGGTCACAAAAACTTAAAACCGAGGTTCAATCAAGATCGAACTAAAAAAGGGCAAGATCGAACTAAAAAAGTGCTAGATCGCAGTTGCAACAGTTCGATCAAAAGTTGATCTCAAAACTAAAGTCGAGATTGAAGCAACACTCCCCGATCAAGTGGAAGCATGCGAAATCAAATCTCCACACCCATTGTAAAGTCAGATTGATGTCCAAGATCCAAATCTGGGTTTCGGGTCGAGTCATACTGTTGAATCATAGAGAGGACTTCAGTTAGTGATATCAAATCTAGGGCTTCACATCAGTTTCGGATCTCAACCAAAGGATCAATTTGAATTCAAATCTCAACAGAGCGTCTCAGATCTTTAACTTGGTGTCGAATAAAGTTCGAATCTTCAACCTAGAGTTCAATTCAAGTTCGGATCTTGGCAAAGAAACAATTGAATCGAGATCGCAACTCAACTATGATGTTAGATTGAGGTCGATCTAGAGTAGCGATGCTTGCAAAACATGTATTCTCAGGTCATGAATCAGATTTACAAAATCAAAATCTCAAAACTAAATCTAGGTGATCGCAATCAGTGTTCTAAAAGCTCTAGGACTATCGAGGCACTAAGGTCTCCTGGAGCCTAAGCGTGAGGCATAAGGCGTAAGGTGAGGTGCCCGCTTCACAAAAGCAATGTATAAGTTGTAGAAGATAAGTAAAATTTCAATATTAGTACAGTTTTCAACATAAGCAAATATTTCTAGAATTTCAAAAATCATAAAGAAAACATTTAACATTATAAAAAATCTTCAAAAATACCAATCAACCTTCACCCAATACTATTTGTCTACCTTCATCAATTTATTGAAATGAATCATTTTTTTTTTTTAGATAAGAAACTCGCACCATATGGTAACTTAGTAGTTTTAATTTTAAACCGGGACTAAATTGCCCAATAGCTTCAATCATTAGCCCAAAACTATCATAATTCACTATATTTAAAGGAATCTCAAAATCATATATTCATATTGCAATTCCAGAGCTTTTGCTTAGTGACTAGGGCTTTTTTTATATGAAAATTGCGGCTCAAAGCTGGTGTTTGCATTGTATATTAAAGGGGTAGTAATTTCCTGTAGCTATACACAAAGAATAAGGCAGGAGCAAAAATTCAAATGAAGCACACGAGGTGTGCGCTTCAAGCCTAAGCCTAAGGCACGCACCTCAAGCACTTTAGATGCACCTTTCTTACAGCCCCTCGCCTCAAGTTGTTTGAAGTGCCTTAGGCGTGCCTCGGTGTGCCTCACACCTAAGCAAGCACCTTTTAAAACACTGATTGCTATGGCAATTCACAAAAGTTGGCGATGGAGTCAAAGTCAACGAGAGATCTATTAAGCTCTGCAAAGTATCTTAGGCACTAAATCTAAGTCGATCCCATACTAGAATCGCAATCGCAACAAGTTTTGAATCAAATTCAAGGTGTTTGATAAACACAGACATAAGGCAAATTAGGGGTTGTGCTACTGCAAATTATCAACCATGTTTGAGCTACGAACCGAGTGAATTCCAATTCATGCAATCGTCACACAAATAGGAACAAAGAATCTGAATTGAAGAAAATAAGAATTATTCAATCTACAATATCATAAACTAAATAATAAAGAGGCCTAACCACCTATTTATAGGATAAAAGACACAACTCTTATGGCACTAGAAACATAATATCCTAAGTAGCACGGACACGTGACATGACACAAATACGACACAGACATGCCAACACGACAATTCTCAAAAATTACAAGACACGACACATGGGGAACATGCACAGAACATATAATTTTATATATTTATTATGTCATGTATATGAATATATCATTCTAATACAATAAATAAATACAATATAACACTAATTTCTATATATTGATATTATTTTTCTTTTATTATTGTATTCTAAGTTATTTTGTTTAAACTTCTAATTAGTTTTGTGCGTGTTAAATTAATAGACACATGTTTAAGCAATAGATACGTGTGTCCTCTAAGTGTCCAAAGAGTGTCAAAGTCTAATTTTTTTTTTAAAAAAATAGTACAGGTTTGGATGAGTGTCGGACAAGTGTCGGGAAAGTGTTCGACGAGCAAGGTTCTGAAAAGCAGTTGCGGTCGCCGTACCGGTGGCGGTGGTGCGGTTGCGGGGTGTAAAGGCTGCAGTGTAACGGTTGCGGTAACCGGAACTGTGAATTTTTTTATTTTTAGCACAATTTGAAAAAAACTTACCGATACGCATATTTTTTTTCTATGATCATATTTATTGGGTTTTAAAATAAATATTGATCAATTTTTATAAATTTTTAAGTATGATCCAATATATTTCATATTTTTAAATCACTATAAACTGAGTTTTTTACATTTTATTTTAATAATTAATGATTTTATATTATACAAAAAATCAATCACCAACTATTATATATAAGATAAACAATGACAAAAGTAAGAGAATAAATAAGAGCGTAAATATATATATATATATACATATTTTAATCAAGCCAAATAGATAATGACCACACTTATTATTATTATTATTATTATTATTATTATTATCAAACAATATATAGATAGACACACAAACAAAATAGTTAAGTGATAGCAGCTGAATAGAATAGCATAGGTCTTACAGCTTTAACAAATCAATAACATGTTCTTCATCTTACCTCTTCTCTCTCTCTATCTATTGCTCCTCCATCTTCCCTCTTTTATCTTCCCTCTTCTCTCTCTATCCCTCTTTCCCCATTTTCTTTTTTTTTTTTTTTTTTGTGTGTTTTTTCGAAAGAAGAGTTTGGAACCATTATGTAACAGTGCGTAACAGGCTTTTACGGCACCGTTACGACCACTACGGCAGCCGCTACGGCCGACACACCTGTGAATCTCAATCACACTGCAAAAGCGACCGTAACGGGTGGCGGTAACCATCACAATTACATAACGGTTGCAGCCACTTTTTAAAACCTTGTCGACGAGTGTCAGTGTCCGCCACCAACATGCCACCATTTTAGAAGTGTTTGTGCTTCTTAGATAATAACCATTCTAATTCTAACTCCATCACATTGTACTATATTTTATTTGATACCTAATTGTTAAAAGAATTCTAAGATGGTAATCTATACAAGTTTACCCTTTACCATACTAAATTTTAAGGAATGTAATGTATCACATCACATTCCCTTTCTACATACCAAAACGATTTGATTGCAAGTATCATATGCATTTATTAACAACAACGAAGAAAAACAACAAAGATCAAAAAACTATAACACTCGAAAACAAACAAATTGATGATATCTGTGCATGGTGACAAGGATAGAATTCAACAGTTTGCGCACTTAAACAATTCAGATTTTAGAAGGAAATGTTTGAGTGACCGGGGGAAACAATTCATGAAACACAAATCAGCAAATGTGTTATAAATTAGATGGGAGGGAGGAAACAACAAAAATTTTAACCAAGAAAAGAAAACCGGGCTAAAGACATACATCTTTAGAAACACGTCCAAATTGTTGATATGAAACTATTTTACTTTATTGAAGAGTTTCCTAAATTCCTCAAGCATACAATTTGTAAAGAGCAACAAGAAGATTTTATTGACTATTGACTACAACCTTAAGTTGATAAAAACATAAATGCAATTAAATGTTTTTCCTCTTTTGATAAGAATGCATAAAAATTAAGATAATGTACCTTGAAACCGCGAAATAACTACCGAGGGCCAGAAGCACACTTCAGCAAAGGAGTCGTATCCAACTAAAAGACAAACCAAGTAAATTGCCCCACAAACAATAACCACTGATGAAGTAAGGAACGGAATTCCTTCCCACCATTGCCCCAACCTAGTAGGCAATCGTGCCTATACGGATCATGGAAGTCCAACCCATAACCAAGGATGATATAATTAGTGGAATGAATACGGATAAAAAGAAACTTTACCTATTCAATTTGCATGCCTTTCTTCATTTTAAGATGGAGAGAGAGGGAGAGAGAGAGAGAGAGAGATTACAATTCAGAGGTCATTATAAGCAGTGAGTATTGAAAAAGAAAATTTTACTAGGCTATAAATGATAATTCACCTGTCCTTTCTTTTTATTGTTTGGACCTATGAAGCACCGACACTTCAAAACGAGTGTCGTATCTGTGTCGACACTTCGGGGACACATGGGCAACTTGGGGACACGAATGGGACACACCACATGGCGTGTTCCATTATTTAATTAATTTATTTTCAAGAGACATGCCAAGAGCACTTCGGGGATACACTCGGCACTTGCCAAGTTGTCTTTTTTCCCATTTTATTTAGTGCTTTTGATGAATATTGAATGTTAATTATTTTTTTCTTAGATTTAAATACTTAATAGATTATCCATAAAAAAAGATATAACTGTAAGTGTTAATTTAAAAGTGCTTTTTTTATTAAGAAAAATAGAATTAAAGTTAATTTTTGTTAATATTGATTGTTTGTGAATGTAATATTAATCTATATAGCAGGCGTGTTCCCGCCATGTCCGTTCTCCTATTTTTTTGAAATCGCCATATCCCGTGTCCGTGTCCACATCCGTATCTGTGTCCATGCTTCTTAGGTTTGGACCAAACCATTAACAGTAATTCATCCCGTGTCCGTGTCCACATCCGTATCTGTGTCCATGCTTCTTAGGTTTGGACCAAACCATTAACAGTAATTCTACAATCATATATCAACACAATTATAAATTTATTGAAAGCTTCAATTTTCACACACAACTTTCTCTCAATTCACACAATTTTCATTCGGAAGTTGATTTCCAAACAAAACTACATGGCTTGGAAATCAACTTCTAATGTAGGACATCATGTGCCTAGCATGTGACTAGTTAGTGGACAGTTAATTGATAGCCTATATCTAGAGAAGTTGTGACCATTTTGTAACTAACTTTGATATATGATAATTGATTGATTACAGATATTCTCTCTCTCTCTCTCTCGGATCCCATAAACTTCCAAACCAAAGATACAGCCAAATTATAAGGTGTTGTCTAGAGTTGATTTCCAAACCATGTAATTTTGTTCGAAAGTTGATATCCAAATCAAATAGTGTGTGAACTAAGACAACGTACTGTGTGGAAACAGAAGCTCCCATCTTTATCTCCGCTACATAGGGCAATCCCAAAGCTAGCTGGTAAGAAACCGTACCTATGTGCGACATTAACTGCTTAAATAAATTTCGGATAAATTACATTGACCTCCTCTAAAATTTGAAGAAACTACAACAAACCCCACAATTTTAGCATAATTACACCAACATCCCTTTTAGTAAAGTTAAAGAAACAAAAAATTATACAAATAGAGTGAAAACACAATGATAAAGAAAATAAAATATATATTTTAATGTAAAAGAGATGGAAATTTTTCTATCCATGTGAGTAATGAATTACTGATTAAAATGGGGTCATGCGTTACATGACATAAAACATTACGGAACCCAATGTCATTATGCCAAATTTGTGGGGATTTTTTCTGAACAGCCGAGGAGATCAAATGTAATTTACCAATAAATTTTCCTGCACCTACCGTGAATAAGAAAAATCAAATCAACCACTTCAAACAAACAAACTCAACATTACATGCATATTCATACCACGCTCGACCCATTAAAGATTTCAATGTAATTATCAGGTTATCATCAACAGGATTCCTCTGTATATATGACAAAACCAGGCACTGACAAAGAAACCAAGAAATCAACTTATCAAAAGTGAAAAGCTAGGGTTTCAAATTCCCTCGAGACCGTAAATCTATTCAACTATATCCCACATCAAAATCAGTAACCCTAATATCAGATTTGGAAGTGTGAAGTTCACATAGTGAACCCCATTTGTTGGTGGTAGTGTTGTTGCTTATATACACACTCACATATATATATATGCGCGAAAATTTATGAAGAATACAACAGATCTTTAGAGGATTTACCTCAGAAACAATGTTGGGTCTCATTTTTCTCTGCGTCTTCTTCGCTATGTGTGCTTTGAACATGTCTCAAATTGGTTGTCATATGTAGCCAAACATCATATAACATGTCTCTCGGGCTTTTCTCGATCCCTCTGGATCTTGTTTTAGACTCGGGCCCAACAACCGAATCGGGTAATGTTTTTTTTTTTTTTTTTTTTTTTTTTTGTTTTTCTAGTGCTTTTGTCCTTGTACGTACCTACATGATCCAATCCAGCCCGACCACACCAGACCATACCCTGACCCGACCCGACCCTACCGTACCCTATCCGACCCTGATCAACAATACAACAAATCTAACCTTATCAATTCAAAATTTATTCAAAAAAAAATAATTAATAACTCAAATTCATTTCAGATGTAAATCTCATATTTTATCAATTCAATATCCACCACACAAACACACTCAGAGTGTGTTTGTTTTGAGGAATTATTTCATGGGTGTGGGGATATATTTTCTGAGTACCAACACGTGGCAAGGTAACGCCGACGTGTCAGCCGAGGTGCCACGTGTCCTGGTCGTAACGCCGAGGTGATCTCGACAAGGACGAGGTTATCTCCGAAGATATCAGAATCCGAGATAAAGCGAATAAAGGACAAGAGTCCTAAGACGAAGAGGGGACTTAACCAAGATAAGGATAAAACTCTTAGGGAGTTTATCTTTATCTCTTAAAGAGTCCAAAGTAAGCACTAAATTGGAGTTCATAGAAGTCATACTTCTAATAGGACTTGGATTGAGTATATTATAAAAGAGAGGCACCCCCGTGGGTCTAAGGTATGCAATTTATGTTTTGAGTATTAAGTTTTGCACTTGATTATCTTTGAGAGATGTACTGACTTGATCGTCGGAGTGCCCCCGGGTGGAAGAACCACCGCCGGAGCCTTTTCTTTCTGTTTCAGGTTGCTAAAGCCATCTATTTTGCATGTGCTCTCCAGTTGATCACTAAGTAGGCAGTGTGGTCAGATTTTCACCCACACAATTTGGCGCCGTCTGTGGGAACGAAGGAAGAATAGATGGCCAGTAACGGACAGCAGGAAAATATTGGGGATGATGCTCCCGCTGGGAGTGGCAGACCAATTGACCTTGACATTGAAGGAGACAACCACAATACAGAAGCCCGTGACCAGGGTCACAGAGAGAAAGACGTCATCCAGAAAGGCGACACGTCAAAAAGGACAGACCAAGGAAAGTACTACAATGAAGATAACCTCCAGGTATGGAGGGACAGATGCCTACGGAGGGATGAGGAAGTAAAAGAATTGGCGAACAAGTTGGCAGACCTTCAGTCAGTCGCCAACTTCATGATGCAGAATAATGTTATGCAGCCACCATACCCGCTGTAAGATACGCCGATGCCAGCAACCAACGCCCAGAAGGGCGGAAGAAATACAATCCCCGACGTCCCTCAGCATACCAGGAGCGGAAGGCATTCTCACCGGCCTTCCAGGGAAGTCGAACGAGAAGAGCCGAGGCAAGAGGAGTCCCGAAGGACGCACCACATGAAGAATCCAGAGCCCAAAGAACATCGGCATGTTCAAAGGCAAGCACTCTGCTTTGACACAACCTATGGAGAAATATCCAAACGGGCCCACCATGAGGCCGAAAGCAGCGTACCAAAAAGACTAAAATCCATAGACAGCCGAGCTCCAGGGAGGAGTAAAGAAGACCTGAGGGACTACCTAAAAAGGAGGCAGCAGAATGTTGAAGCCGAGGTAAACTCCCCAGTAAAACCGAAGACAGCCTTCTCGGTGGAACTGGACAAATTCGAACCACCAAAGAGATTCAGTATGCCGAGGTTTCAAACTTATGATGGTAAGTCAGACCCAAACTTTCATGTTGGACTATACCTGAATTCAATGGCGTTATATAGCGGGAACGAGCCGTTGCTCTGCAAAGTATTCCCCTCATCCTTTGGGGAAATTGCATCTGATTGGTTCCATAAATTACCAAAGGGAAGCATAAAGACATGGGAAGGCCTGGCCGAGATGTTTGTGGCCAGGTTCGTGACCAACAAGCTGCAACCCCTGAGGGTTGATGCTTTGTTGGCTCTAAGAATCACCAAGGAAGAAGGCCTTAGGGCCTATGCGAAGAGGTACTACGAGGTTTTCAACCGAATACCCGAATGCAACCAAGAAGTAGCGGTCGTGTTTTTCAAGAACGGCCTGAAAGATGACTGCCCACTACGGAAGTCTTTGGCAAAAACATTGCCAAAAAGCATGGAAGAACTCATGGCAAGAATTGAGAAGTACGCCAGAGCCGAAGAAGATACATCGGGAAACAAAGAGATAAAGCAAGAAAAAGGCAATGGCTCGCCGAAGCGAGGCCGAGGCAACAATGGGCCGACCAAACAAGAAACAGAGTTGAGAAGTAAACAGGCGGTAACGACGGTATTCCAGATCCCAATCCATAAAGTCTTAGATCAGATTCGAAATCAACCTTATTTCAGGGCTCCGGCAAGAGCGCCAGGGGAATTCATGGAAAGGAACGTTGGTAGACGTTGTGCCTACCACAATGAAGAAGGGCACCCAACTCAAGGTTGCAGAGCCTTGAAAGCACACTTGGAGGACCTGGTAAGACAAGGCCTTCTGAGGGACCTGGTCGATGAGGCCAGGACAAGGGAAGAACAGGCAAGGTTGCCTCAAGCACCAGCAGCACCGCCTCCCCCAGCACAACTACCACAAGCAGGAGGACCGAGGGTAGTTAATGTGATCCACTCAAGGGTCAACGAAAACGAAGTCAGAGGAGAGACCCAGAGGGTAAGACATTTACAGCATATCTACCAAGTCGGGGAGAAGAGACATCGGCCAGAAGAATGCCAAGGGCCGATGATAGCCTTTACTGAAGCCGACCTGGAATTGGTCAAACATCCGCATAATGATGCCTTGTTAGTATCCCTCCAGGTTGGGGAGTGCCAAGTGAAACGCATCCTAATAGATCAAGGCAGCTCCTGTGACATCATGTATGTCAGATGTTACAAAGAGCTGGGCCTTCACCCCGATGACCTAGAACAATCAAGCGGCCCGATAGTCGGCTTTAACGGAACGCCGACATGGCCACTAGGTGCAACAAGCTTAGAAGTACAAGCCGGCACTAAGAAGATCAGGACGGAATTCCTGGTAATTGACACACCCTCACCATACAACATCATCTTAGGAAGGCCGTGGTTGCATGCAATGAGGCAGGAGAGAGATTCCCTTTGATTCTTGGTCTCACGACCATTCGTCGAGTAACGAATCTAGCTGTTTGCCAATCAAGTGCTAAACATCTGTCACTAACCTCTGATAGGTGCTCCTGCCGTTTTCAACCCAAAAGGCATTACCTTGTAACAGTACAGGCCTTTAGGAGTGATGAACGCGTCTCTCCTCGTCTGGAGGTAAATGCAATCTGGTGGTACCCTGCGTAGCATTCCAAAGAAACTCCATCCTTTCATGTCCCTGAAGTGGCGTCACCAGTGGTCGATTGGGCAGAGAAAGTCTGTCTTGGGGTCAAGCTTGTGAGGCTGGTAAAGTCACCAAACCCTCAATTTGCATCTCTTTAAACTACACTGTGTGGACAGCCATGTTGGGTACTGAACTCTCGGATGCCCTGGCTCCAGGAGTCTCTACCTCTTTTCTACTGCGTTCGACGTGCATCACGTCGTATTCCTGGCTCGTTGACACAGGTTCGCCTGATCTTCCGACATTCAGTCCGTGGTATAGTGACCTCGGGGTCAAGCCTGGCATTATCATAAGGTGTCCAGGCGAACGCCTCAGTGCCCTAAAAAAATCTTTCCATCTGTCTTTCTTCTCTACTAAGCTGAGCGAGAGAAGAAACGCTCTTCGTCGTCCTCCCCTGACGAGAGATTTTTTTAGCGCCCTTCGCGTTTTTCGGCTGGTTCTTTCCCGACGTCTTCTAAGAGCTCCAGTCCTCATGCCTCAACGTCTGCGGTTCCTGTGGCTCTCGTATACTACAGGTGAACTTCATTGCGTCATGGAGCAGTTTTTGCTTGCAGTTGATCCCCTCGACCTTCTCAATCCCATGCTCTGTTGGAACCGCAAGTAGTTGAGCAACGTTGAGGGAACTGCCC